GATCGTCTTTTACAGTTCGCTCATAAAGTTTTTTTGTTTATATTTTTTGGCAGGGGAAGAATGGGATGGTTCAAGTCTGTACCAAAATTGAACATAGAAAGATCTTATACATTGAAGATTACCGAGATATGCATTTTAGTGTTTGGTGATATTAATAATAGTAGGTAAAACCTTTTATTCTGAATTTTCAATTTTTGAATTTTTTTCGAATTTCATCATTTCATGACAGAATTTGTGCATCCCTGGTTGGCATATTTTTGTATAATTATTTAATCCTTTTGTGGATTTCATGTTTTCTGGATGTCATTTTCTTCTACGGCGCATCCCATCTGCAGTTGACTGTTAATCAGAAACCTCTTGCATCAAGGCTATCGTNTGGCATATTTTTGTATAATTATTTAATCCTTTTGTGGATTTCATGTTTTCTGGATGCCATTTTCTTCTACGGCGCATCCCATCTGCAGTTGACTGTTAATCAGAAACCTCTTGCATCAAGGCTATCGTGCTATGCTGCCACAAACCCTCGTGCAATATAAAGCCTATTTGCTCTCTCCTCTGCTTTTTTGTTTAAAGCATGTCTTCCACTCTGTTAAACTTTCTCTCTTTATCGGATGATTATCTCAATGGTCCTGTTGATTAGCCCTACTAGCGGAAGTAAACAGTTAATCGCGGTAGTTGGCTGCATATGTCATATGTCTCTACGCTGCTATATAGCCTATTGTTACTTTCTCCCGTCCACCAGGATGCAAAAAGTAAGGTAGCTGTCTACCGGGACGACTTGTGGTTGTATTCGACGAGGTTCCTATGGGGACAAATAGATCATCCTTGGGTGCATCCAATCCTCTGCCATGCATCCCATCCTCTTGTATTACTGAGCTATGTATGTACGGGGCAATTGCTTCACACTTCTATGGGGATGGGGACACTAGAAGGTAGGATTCTCGCCAAACCTGNTCCAATCCTCTGCCATGCATCCCATCCTCTTGTATTACTGAGCTACGTATGTACGGGGCAATTGCTTCACACTTCTATGGGGATGGGGACACTAGAAGGTAGGATTCTCGCCAAACCCGAGTTTGTTGCTCCCAATAGTGTCCAATTTTTGGGCAAATTTGGCTTTCGCATTACTGAAAAGGATGAGATTTTTGTCAAATCCGAGTTTACTGCTTGAGCCATTACCTAGCTAACTCCTATTTCGTTTAGTACTTCAACTGCTTTTGCTACCCCTCATAGGTGTTTTTGGCCAAACATGGTTTTTAAAAGTAAGCTTAGCCTAACCAAGCTTGTCTGATGCCATATACCGACAGTTTTAGGATACTCTTATTGATCTTTTTATATTGTGGGTAATTAGTATTTGTTATTTATCAATAAGAAGAGTTCAAGTTATAGATGCTTCCGTCTATAAATTAAGAGTAATGCTACAAAATTTAAATGAAATCCAAAAAATTACAATTCAAATATAGATCATCTCTTAAATGAGTGAATTTTATCAATTTTTTTAGTGGAATCTACTCATCACACATTCATCCAATGGATGATATAAATTTGAGTTTTAACTTTTATATTTTAAATATTTTTCATTAATTAAAGGCTAAGTTACATCCATACCCCCAAAGGTTGCTAAGTAACGAGGGGACACTCTCATTTACGGAAAATAGCACCGGCTTTAATGACTTCAAGGCCCTCGACTTTAGCATCTCTCTCAGGTATCTTTCCCCTTACTCTCACAGTGAAACAAAATTCATCCAAATCAGCGAGATCAGCCATCCCCCTAGGGGAAAAAAAATTAAAATCGAACTGATTTTTTCTTTTGTGGACTGGACGGAGCTCCCTTGTGGCCCTCTTTAGGTTTTAAAAACTATTATGCCTCCCTCTTAGCTTTTCAAAAGTGCTTACATATATCTATATAGTGTATTTCATCTTTTGTATTAAAAGCTAATGGCCTAACAATTGATAACCAAATAGGCAATACTTTATCTTATACATGAATTAGTTATGGCACCTACTTAAAGGCATAGAGTAATAANGCTTACATATATCTATATAGTGTATTTCATCTTTTGTATTAAAAGCTAATGGCCTAACAATTGATAACCAAATAGGCAATAAATATAGGCAATGCTTTATCTTATACATGAAATNTAAACATATTTGTATTCACACCCAAAATTAAATTACAAACATAGAGGAGAGATAAAAGAATTTAAACACCTGTTGTAGCAAGGGTGACCGGTGGTNTACATGAATTAGTTATGGCACCTACTTAAAGGCATAGAGTAATAAAAAAAAATTATCAATTATAAACATATTTGTATTCACACCCAAAATTAAATTACAAACATAGAGGAGAGATAAAGGAATTTAAACACCTGTTGTAGCAAGGGTGAACGGTGGTAGTGGTGGTGGGTAATGGTTGTGGTGGTAGTGGTGACAGTTGTGGGTGGCAACAGTGATGTTGATGGTGATTGTGGTGGTGGATAGTAACGGTGGTGATGGGCGACGACAGGTGCTTGTGAGCGACGATTGTAACAAATNACAGTTGTGGGTGGCAACAGTGATGTTGATGGTGATTGTGGTGGTGGATAGTAACGATGGTGATGGGCGACGACAGGTGCTTGTGAGCGACGATTGTAACAAATGGTGGTGGTGGTGGTTATAGGTGTGTTGGGGGTGAGTGGTGGTGGTGGTGGGCAATAACGGGTGAGGGTAGATGATAGTAGTGGACGATAACGAGTGATGGTTGGTTGTGGTAGTAAATGACAGTGAGTGATGGTGGTTGTGACAGAAAAGGTGGGGGGTGGTAGCAACAGCAGTACAAGTTATTTTTTTTTACTTTCACTTACTTATTTAAATAGTAAAACTACTTTTAACTTATTTTAGAAGTAATTAAAATAAATTATTCAAAGCACCATTTGTTTTTTTTAAAAGTGCTATCATACCACCTAGAAACACTTCTGAAAAGTCAATTCGAGGTCTATTTTTTTCATTAAATTTGGGGAGTTAATATTAGATATCGAATTAACTTTAGAATAAAATTTAAAATAATCTTAATCGCAAAAAATAAAAATAATTTTTTATGCTTTATTTTATTATATAGATGTTGATGAAGACATAAACTTGAAAGAGTTTGATTATAAAAACCAAAATGAAGTTTTTGAAAGGTCGGACCATAAACTAAACTTATATCGCCAACAATATAATGACTCATAATAAATATTTATCATGTGAAACTAACCTCTCATTTCTTTTATGATAATTCATTCATACTCATTGCATTGAAGTAATGATTGTGCCCTTCTTTTATCAACTATTTTATGCATATTTCCCAATACTTTACGCCATGCGGCGTTACAATCGATGCGTCTTAATGCTCTCCAAATCAAATCGATGACACAACCAACACCATCTATGTGCTGACGCATTGTATGGCCAGTGACATCAAATAATTCACAGTGGAATCTCTACATCTACTCAGAAAAACAACAAAAGTCCACATGCTGACCACGCTAACCTATAAGATAAAAGAGCACCGGCAGAAAAAAAAAAAAAAAAAAAAAAAAAAAAAAAAAACAAAACTAT